ATTTTCGCGAATTTTTTTTCATTCCCCTTGTTTGAGAAATTCCGAAAACAGGTTTAGGCTTTTAAAAATCGGATTTTGACGGTGGAAATTCCTGAAAATTTGCGTTTTTGAAAATTTGAGCGTTTTTTCTTCTGAAATTTTCCGAATTTTTTTTAGCACACTAAGCCGTATCTGACCCTCAAACTGCAACTTCCGGGTAGTTCACTCACTAACGGTGAACTCCCGGACTCAAAGTGACCTCAAAGAGACCTAATCATAATACCTTTCAAATTCGTTTATGATTGCAATTATTGTTTATTGATTATCTTTATTGCAAATAATGATTATTCCGTGGGACAGGGGACTGTATGCGTTTTGTTTGATTGTTCTACCCCTGTTCCCACTCTCCCTACCCTCCCCGTATTCTGTGACCACCGGGACCTCTCAAGTACCGCATCAGTACACACTGATGTCGATGGAACAGGATACCGGGCCACTGCCACGGCGCAGTGCCAGGCTCGCAGTTCGTGCTCGACCTACGGTACCTCCACGAACCAAGGCTCAGCAACAGAGACTCAGCAGGTGGACGACTCCAGCGGCATCGAGTACAACATTGACGGTACCGGACACCACCGGAGTTCTTCCCCCATGCCCGGTCCGAAGGGCCAGTGAGCCGTTGGCTGACTATTTTGGGCGGCTACAGGTATTTACAGATACCGTAGCTGCCGCCAAGGCTCGCAGGAGGCAGCAGAGGCAAAACGTCAGCGGCTGGCCAATGAGGCGGCAGCCCAAGCTCAGCAGACTGCTGAGGCTGACGCAGCGGCACGAGACCAACGGAATGCCGCCAGTACGGAGTCCCTGATTCATAGTGAAAGTCAGTGGACAACGTTCCTCCAAGGCATGATCTTTGTGCCTTCGGACGCGCAGGCAGATCCGACACCGGCGGAGGCAGAGAGGACTCACCTGGCTAACTTGATGCTGGGCATGATGAGAGGCATCATGTGGAATAACACACTGCTGCAAGCACATCTTCGCACGGAACGACAGCAGCGACAAAAGCACCAGCAAGACATTGTTGTTTTAACAACTGCCATCCGCGCCGAAGCAACGCAGCAACAGCAACAGCATCAGCTGTTGAACTCCGCTCTTGCACGCATCAACAGCATTGAGGCTAACGCCTCAGCAGCGCCAGGCTGCACGACAGACGCGACGAAGCAACTCAATGAGCGCATCGATCATGTCGTCACCATCATCGGCGACATAGGTGTTTTCAATGGGCCGGACACGATCAGTAGCACGGTGGCCGCCATCAAGACGGACATCACCAAGCTGCAGACGAGACCGGACGCCGCAACAAAGACTTACAAGATGCCGCACTTCGACATCAGCAAGTTCGACGACTACAACAAGTCGGACGCCTTGACATGGTGGCAATGTTTCCTCACGGAAGCATCATGCCGCACTGTCCCGACAGACGACATGATGAAGGCACTCTACTTGCAACTAATTGGAGGAGCGCAGGCTTGGATGAACCATCTGGCGGCTACCAACAAATGCGCCATCGCCGACCTCCACACGCACATCACGTGGAATGAGTTCGAGAAGCTATGGTTCACCCGGTTCATGGTCCACAACGCCGTGAAGGCGGCCATGAACGAGGTGTACACCTGCTCTCAAGGAAATATGCCAACTCGAGACTGGACAACCAAGTGGCAGAAGATAGTGACCACACCAGGATTCGATTTGAGTTTTCCAAATCAAGGATCCGAGTTCTTCTTGCGATCGTGCGCGGGACTGCGGTCGGCACTCGGCAACGAGTACGACTATGACACGTTCCAGGCCATTCTGGATCGTGCGAACTTAGTCATCCAAACGGATGACAAGGCCGCAAACGAACGGCAGTCCCAGCCGCATTACGTGGCTAAGCAGGGCTATCAACGTCAGGCACATAACAATGCCGTGATTTCTTAAGAAACAAACGATCTCCACGCTACAGCAACATCCTCGAGTGATGGAGGAATTGTAGCAGCGCTCCCGCCGAAGCGTCCCAAGAGAGTTCGGAAGAACAAGGCGACACAAGAGACAGCATCGACGGGAACTGGGCAGCAGCCATGGACGGCTTACAAGATAACCAAGGATGTCTATGACCTTTGTCAAAAGTACGGATACTGCCTCTGGTGCAACGGCGTCACTCATGTGACCGCACAATGCCCTGAAAAGGGCAAGGCACGCGTACCCCGTCCAGCAAACTCGGGAAACTGAGTTACGCAAGGAGAGGGGCGACGTCTCTCCTTACTCCGCCGGACCCGGTTGCCTTGCTAGCAATCGATGTCACTACCGGGGAGCATGCGCTAGTCACTGATTCTCGTGCCACGTACGAGCATTATGCCGCCCAACTGGTACCACCATTAGACCAGCCAAGCCACGTGCACTTAGCTAGCGTATGCGCAGCCTGTACACCGTCGGCAAGTGATCCGGTCAGTTCGCCACTGATTTCCGAGGACTCGACGGCGTGGTCAAGACTTGAGGAGCTTGACCCGCTCACGAGAGAGGACTTCGCTTGGATGACTCTACCCTCGACCGGAACCTTGCCAAGGCCGCATTGCAACGCCTTGAT